CAGTTACAATTATTGAGCCACCGGCCTTACACCGTTGACCGAGGGGTTTTCTTGTCTCTCTCTCTCTCTCTCTCTCTCTCTCTCTCTCTTCTTATTCTTCTTCTTCGTTTTGTCTTTGACTTGGCAGCGCGGATCCAGATGAAAGTATTACCGCACAAACTTTATACTTAAGTACCTAGTTACAAAAAAGGCAGAATTCCAGAGTATAAAGTAAGTATCAAGGATAAACACAGCCAAAAATACTTGGAAATCCTTCCATTCGCACTCGCATTCGTTCTCGCTACATCCAAATCCATGTCCATCCTTTTCATTAACCTGCAACTGCAAGGCTGTATGTACAGTGTACGGCGTAACTCCATAGCGAAGAACCAACGTAGAGCCCTGGAATTAAAGCGTGACGATCAGGGGCCAAAACCGCCCTGAGGCTCTGCGTGCCTCTTATCCTTAAGCATTCGCTGTTCGTGTTACTGTAGGTAGTTAACAGTATAACTACCGATTAGTTAAGTGTTGGTCCGCATCTTCTGCATGCCCCTTATCATTGCCTTGGGGTTGGTGGGTTGGTCTTCAGAGTAGTGAAGGTACTAGGGTACGGGGTATAGCTATAAGCAAAAGATGATTCAGGAGCCATTAACGTCCTGGATGCCTTAACATCTGATCTCACCTTTTCGTCACCCAAAGATCAGAGACAAAAGAAAAGAACAGAAAAAAATGAATATCAAAAACCCCTCCTCTCCGCCACCATTGCAGCCTCCGTCGGCGCCAAAGCACTCCCCAAACGAGACGACATCACTCAAGCCATCTTCCTGATGAAAAATGACAGCGGGGATTGCTACATCGGCTTGAAGAATATCCAAGGATGCACGGGGACATCATCCATCGTGGGAACATACGACGAGGGAAGCCAGAAGTGTATCAAGAAAGAGGGTGAGTATACCTACCTACCTACCTAGATATAACATATATACCTTTCATACCTTTTCAACACCATCTAACAATCTAATCAATCTATCTATCAGGAACACCCCGCGAAGGCAGCAACCAAGGCCAAGGCGACATCTGCGACGGCGCCACCATAATGCTCTACTACCAGGATCAGTCGACTCTATGGTCTGCCGGCGACGCGCACTTCGACGATAATACTGGGAACGGCGATGATGATAATGGCAACACGCAGGATTTCCAGGGCTTGGGTTTCGATACGGGTTGCGGGTTGTTTGAGGAGGGTGGGGAGTGGACGAGGGTTTGTGGTTTGCAGTAAACTTTGGGATTTTATGGCTTTGGCTGTGCTCTGTAAGGCATTCGTGGAGTATGTGAATATTTATGGGAGGTATTTGGGAGGTATTTGGGAGGGTTAGGGTTCTGGGGTAGATATGTGGACTGGAGGTTCGGGTCTGGTGAGGAAAGTTAGACGGTTACTATTGAGATGTGAGGGAAAGAGGAATGGGAAACTGATCGTCCATCAAAAATTCTTTCCCGGGGTTCTACCGAGCCAATATTTGGTAATTAGGTGGCAAGTCTCTGGCGATGAATGATCTGAATTCGGGACGTTTAACACGTTATACCCACTGTCCAATTTATATGGCAGCTGGATCGACAGATGAATCAGCGAGGGAGCAAAAGTTAGAACCATGGAACAGCTGCACGAGAGTAGACACGTAAGTAGTTCCATATCGAGATCGACTGGATCCCTTCATTTAAGATCTATTTTTGGGCAGCAGCAGGCAGCAGTGAACCTCAACCACGTCGCTGCGCAGGACCATCATGAATAATGTTGAGAAGTTTTCCTCCCGATCCGGAGCAGATACCCGAGCCAAATGAACAAATAATATGATTACGATGTGCGAAGAACAATGGATGCAGGTGATCGTCAGAATACGGGGGAAGTGGATTCATGGATCCACCTCGTTTCTATATTAATCACCTGCAGTCGTATTTCTTGCTAAGAAGGATGGATGTGGTAAAATTGTGACTGTCTATTAGACAAAAGTGAGAAAGTATGTATATGAAATGAAAAGAGGGCGTCCTCTGTATATGCAATGTCATAGTCGTCGCCGGCCTTGCTTGTTTCAATCAACCATAGCGCCGGTGAATGCAAAATAAAAACCCAGCAGACAATTAATAAGAACCCAGCCCTCCGAAGAAAATAATAAACAAAATAAATAGACCCATATGTGACGGTGAGCAGTGCTCGGAATGATTCATCTCCCATGCTTTCTATATGCATAAATCGTGATGGGGGGTTGGTGGTTAAAATGAATAGTGAGATATAAATAAAGAGTTGCAAGCGAGTTGCAAAGTAAAAATAGAACTGTAGGTCGTCTCCCCATGCAAGGGTGAGTTGTGACTTCATCAAAGGTTATTCCGGGGGATCGGCATGTGCACGTTCAGGTTCGTGACTCGTGGTCTTCCAGTATTCGTCGTTCTTGTCCGCCACTTCCGAGGCGACCGAGGAACTCGGACTGGAGTATGGCAGCGAGGCGGCGCTCGAGGCCGAGAGAAGGTCCGAGGCCGACGCAGGGCTCTCGACGTCTTTGCTCACCCATTTCGGAACGGGGTTCGACAGTAGGGGAACCGTCGTCGTTGTCGTCGTTGTCGCCAGATCCGACGGCGTCTCGTTCTGACCCGACGGAGGCTTCGCGCCTTCATTCTGGGTTTTCAGGGTTTCCAGGGGTCCCAGCGTCCACCGCCATTCGCACCGGCGTTTGACTCGTTTCTGGCGAGGCGTCTGAGGAGTCGTCGAGCCGTAGTTTTCTTCCAGTCCGTCCATCAGCGCGACCGCGCGAACCTGTTTTTCTGCGCTCAGGTGTTTTCGTTTCTTCCGTTCCAACGTGGATAACGGGGAGCGGCGCGTGCCGGCTGAGGAATCATCCTCGTCGGAGGTGCTGGCATCCGACGGAGCCAGGCTGGAGTCTGAATCTTGATCGGAGCTTGTCTGAGGGGGTTTTTGTTCGATCTCTGGCTCCCCGGAGAGATCGGAGTGTCGGGCGGTATAGTGTACAGTTTGGATTTCTTCTTCGAGTGGTTGTCGATAGTTGACTTGCTTCTTTGCCGGAAAAAAAACCCGGCGCGAGCCCGTGCCTCCGGTGGCACTCGTGGCGACCGATGCAGACCGCAGCCGACATGTCGGCTCCAGCGGGGAGTTCCGCAGGATGCTCTTCACTCCCAGAGGGAGCTGGTAAGGATTATTATTGCTGTTGCTATTGTTCTGGGCGTACGAAGGATAGGGAGATGAGGGCTTGCTGAATCGACTGGCGGAAGGTTTGGAGGGAGAGGCGGTTGCGGAGGGGATGGCCGCATCGTAGGCATTCTTGAAGGTATTGCGAACGGTGGGAGAGGCCGTTGCACCGCCCGCTAGCGAGAGCGAGAGTCCGGTCGAGGAGGTCCCAAAGGTTCTCGGTAACGAGGTGGTTTGGAGAGTGAGTTTCGGGCGGGATGCCACGGTCGGCCGGTGTTCGGCCGTCGTATTCGAGGAGAAACTGCAGGTCATATTGGGATGCGAGACAGTCGACTGCGACTGCGACGGCTGGGGGACGATGGAGGTCATCGTAGAGAATCGATCGGCATGGGAAGGGTGAGACAGGAGGATAAAGGTCGAGAGGTCGATAGAGGGGCAGACCGAGCAGGGGTCAGGGAAAAGGAAGAAAAAAGAAGACGAAGAAGTAACGACCAGGACTGGGAGTCAAAGAGAAACCCAACCCCCGCACGAAAGCGCCGTGATATCACCGAGAAGAGGGAATCGCTTCGAGGGCGATAAGAAAGACTAAGACGACTAACGCGCACTTAAGCGTGTCGATGATCCAGGGTGTTTGGCGCAGGAAATGAGGAGAACGTTGGGCGCTTGTCCAATCCTTTTTTTTTTTTTTTTTTTTTTTTTTTTGCGTTCAGATCTTTTATTTTTTTGCTGATTGTTCCTAATTTAGGATTGCCACTGACGGGTGGACGATCATTATTGACGAGCCATGATGACTTGGATGGTGGGAATCGGGCACGACGGTCAGATGGAGAGGAGGAGAGGGAGGATTATGTAGTACAATTAAAAGATGAGAACAAAGAAGATGGGAAGGAAAGTATGGGAAAAGAGAGGGGAAAAAAATCTATCTTTTCGGGAAGAACAGGAAAAAAAAAAGAAATAATAAGAGCGAGAACTATAAACGGTTGATGCCGCAATTCTGAAGGTTGAAGAAAACCAGCGAATGGAAGGAATGGAAGGCAAACCCAAAGCCGAAGCGTATGGACGGCGTTAATTAAACCCTCATGAATTAAATTAAAAGCGGTCATAGTCATGCGATAGCCTCGAGATAGTCGCGCCCACTAATGCGGTGGTCCTACACCACGCTGCGACTCTGCTAATAATAAAGCGAGACTATCGAGTGGCATCGACGCCGCATCAGCTCTCTATTCTTGTCTGGACCCGGTCGAATTTCTCCGCTGAGGATCCCTGACTGGTCTGGCTCTGGCTCACGACACGCGGCCGATCCATCCTAGCGATCGACCGTCCTCCACTTTGACATCATCCCATGTCGGGAACAAATCCCTCTGATACTGATCTGAGACTGAGGAGTAGCATTCTTGCGTCTGGGGGGAGTATGAAAAAAGAGACATCTCTGAATAGTGAACACTGAATCCATCGGAGGACAGAGACCGTTCTAGTCTGATTAGTTATTAATAGCCGCCGGTCTCGTCACGCTGCAGCTCCAGGATGCAGGGATGCTATAAAAAGATCCCTGTCGGTGGACCTGCCAAGACCGCGCTAGTCCAGTTCGACCGAGGTGGCGTCCAGGCGCTAACCCGATGAATCCGCTTAGTCAGTTCCCCCGCCACACCCCAGCCGCCAGACTGCCCGACTGCGTGTGATTCGGCCTGGATATACCGCCGGGAGTGACGGGTGCTGCATGCTTTAGACTCTTCCTCCGTACATCTCTCCGAAGGGTTACTCGTTCTTCTTGTCCCCATATTATCTACTCCGTATTGTAGGGGGAAAACTCTTCATCGGAATTTACATGGCGGCCGTCCCTGCCAGAGACGACCGTCGAATCATTCTTCACTTTGTCAGTGCCGCCCAACGGAGAAATTTAGAGGGGTGACAAGAAATAAAAAATTTAAAAAAGTCCGTGACTCAAACTAAGGTAAACTAACCCGTCGGCTTTTGGGTCCCCACAGGATTATGATTGCTTCTACGCCTCCGTCTTCGAAGTCGAACAGCCCGTCTTGAAATCGTTGCCTTTGGCCGTTCAGCAGAAGCAAATCGTCGTGACTTGCAACTATGAAGCCCGACGCCGGGGTCTACGCAAACTCCAACTCATTCGGGAAGCCAAGCAGATCTGTCCCGACGTGGTGATCGTGCTGGGTGAGGATCTCTCTAGATTTCGGGATGTCTCCAAGGATCTCTACCTCTTCCTGCGCGATTTTGTTTGGGGAGGTCGTGTGGAAAAATTGGGCTTCGACGAGGTAGGTCTTACTTCGACTCTTGGTCTTTCTTTTGTTTTCGCCTCTCGCCTTCTTGTTTTGTTCTGTGTCTCATTCGACTACATGCATTACTTGGTCCTGTCGTCTTTTGTTTCCAATTTTGCTTGCCGTCCCCACAGACGGTGGATCCTGGTGCCTGAATAGTGATTTCTGATAACGGGAACGCAGTTGTTTTTGGATGTCACAGACATGATCACGTACAACGTGGATCTGCTGAACCGACACGATCTAGAACACTCATTCTTTCATCTCGACCGCCAGGAGCCCACCGTGGGCTTCCCCTACAATGCCTCCAATCCGCTTGGTCCCACCTATCCGCCGGACTCGGCCTGGTCATCGCCCGCTGCCCTGCCGGATTCGTCCTCGCTGGACACCAAGCTTCTGGTTGCCTCCCATCTAGCAGGTTACCTGCGGGGTCAGCTCGAGGAACAGAAGGGCTACACTGCCACGGTGGGCGTGTCGACGTCGAAACTTCTTGCCAAATTGGTGGGAAGCACTCATAAGCCCAACACTCAAACAACCCTCCTCCCGCCATACGTTGCGGCGCAGCCTGGCGCACATTCCACCGTCCTCGATTTCCTCGACGCCCACGAGATCCGAAAAATCCCCGGCATCGGCTCGAAAATCGCCCAACGGATCACTTCCCATCTCGTCAAAACAGGCGTTCGATCGGAAACCATCCAACATGAAACAGCCCCTGTCGGAGATACCCCCGTCACGGTTCGAGACGTGCGTCGGTGTCCCGGCATGAGCCCCTTACTTCTAGATAAGATCCTCGGCGGCCCCGGATCCCCCAAGGATATTGGAATTAAATTCTGGAGACTGATCCATGGCGTAGACCATTCGGAGGTCCGGGAGGCTCGGGACTTACCCACTCAGATCAGTATCGAAGACACTTACGGGCGCATGGATACTCTCGATGCGGTCAGACGGGAGCTGGTCTCTTTGACGGTCAGTCTTCTCCGGCGCATGCGAACTGATCTGACGGAGAGACTGGACGAGAGCGAGGCAGCGACCGGGCGAGTCCCTGGCTCGCGCCAACCTTTAGAAGAAACGGTTCGCATGCGATGGCTGGCTCGCCCTAAAACTCTACGTCTCTCTACGCGACCTCGGCCGCCTCCTACGCCGGATGGTGGACAGATTCGCAGCTTCAACCGCATCTCACGCTCTGCACCTCTCCCCCAGTATGCGTGCAACTTGGACGAGAATGTTGATGCGCTGGCGGAGCGACTCGTGCAAGATCTGGTCATGTCCATGTTCCGGAAACTTCATCCCGAGAAGTCTGGATGGAACCTGCATCTGTTAAACGTCGCTGTGACGAACATGATCGAGACAGCCGGGGAGCGGAAGCAGAGTAGCGGTCGGGACATAGGGAAGATGTTCCAAAACCAAGATAAAGCAGATCAAGTGCCCTTCCGTCAAATGGAACAAGGCTTGTTACCGATCACGCAGTCATCCATACCGAACGTCTCCAGTGAATCTGACCTTCGACCCGGTCCGGGGGTTGATGCGTGGGAGGAGAGCGATGAGGAGGAGGAGGACATGGCCTGCGTAGCCTGTACCATCTGCGGAGCATTGATCCCACATTTTGCGCTTGTAGCCCATGAGATCTATCACTCCGCACCGGGGGGATGATGGAGACATGATACTAAGGTTAACTCTGCGTACCGAATCGAAGGTATGTTCCGGGTTCGCATTCCAAACCAATGATGTTCTATTGACTCTATCAGAACATCACGACTTATTCGCTTGGGACGATCTAAGTAAATGCGATATAAATCGCTTCTTCTTCTTCTTCTTCTCTTCCATCCTCAATCATGTCCTCGATCTACGTCTTACCCTCAGAGCTCCTCGACCTCATCATCAGCCACCTTCCCTATGCAGATTTCAAATCTCATCGCCTAACATGCCACGCCCTAAGCGAAAGTGCCGCACGCTGGCTGTTTTGCAGGGTCGTGATTACCTATCACCAGCATGACGACAGCTTCGACAGAGTCCAAGGGTTCTTCGAGGAATACGCCCCCTTAATCCGCCGGCTGTCACTTTTCTACTATGAAGATTGTCGCCCCGAGCGAATATTTGAATCCCTCTCATTTTTCAAGCGCATGCCGTCTTTAGAACAGCTTTGGCTGTACACGCTGCAGGCCTTGTTCACTGATGATTCTGTTACCGGCCAATTCGAGAGCCTTATGTTTCAAGCCAGCCCACTCACCCCGCCGACGGAGAGAATCCTGCCGCAGCTGCGGTGGTTGAGGATAGATAACAATGGATGGTACCGTAAAAAATATTGGTACCTCGACAATCTGGCGGTTCTATTCATCATCCCCACACTGGAACACCTGGAACTGGAATACCTGGTTCTGCGCGATCAAGATCCCAAATTTCCCGGGAGTTTTGATCTCAACCAACGACAAACAAATCTCAAGTCCCTGATTATTGAGAACATATAGTTCGACATCACGGCGTTGGAGAAGATATTGTCGATACCCCGGTCTTTGACACGTCTCTCGGTCTACCATAGCGCTTCAGGTAGCTATGAATTCCCTGGGGGCTGGTCCCAAGAATCTTTCCTCAATGAGCGTTTGTATCGAGCTATATTGCAATGGCATCTCTGGAGGAGTTGATTCTGTGTTTGTTTGTTGGCGCTCTGCCAAACTACGCGCTTGATTTGTCGCGTGAACGGTTTCCGAGGCTGCACCTTTATATTGGTCAATTTAAGGATTCGTCGAATAGATTTAAACCGTCTTGGTGACATAGATAGTCTTCAGTCCCTGGCATTCTGTAAATAGTAGTACGCGGTCGGCACCTGGACATAGCTTTGGCGCTATTGGGCCATACCCACTGGATAAGTCCGGGGCAGGGATCTGAGCATCGATCTATACCAATCTCTAGAAACGTTCTCAATACTACCTTATCTACTACGGTGTATACACTATTTACGAAAGCCTTGCAAGTAGGGCTGGCATGCCGGGAGTCACGGGGCTGGCGCCAAGACCCGGACCCTTTTTTCCTTTTCGTTTTCAGTCGTGGAATCTCGTCTTCATTTCCCTCCATCCACTCGCTTTTGTCGACCAACCCCCTCCAATATTTCGTCGTGAGTCTTTCCCTTCTTTTCTGCGCCCGTCATCGCGGTCATGGTGCAGGAGACAACATCCTGCCCAGCACCCACGCGCCGTGGTCGACGATCGCCGTCCGACTCCGTTACATTGTTGTCGCGGACAACCGATTGAAATCGCAGGCTCGCCGACGCTATTGGTCACTAACGCCTTATTAACTCCAGGGTCCATAGCGTTATTCACTGATTCTCGACTCCGGACCCCGAACTCCCCTTCCATGCAATCGGCGTGAGACATTAGTCGCTCGACCTTTCATCTGTTTTCTTGTCCTTCTCCACCCTTTTCATCCGCTCTGATCCGCTTCTCCTTTCTCATTTTCTCCTTGAGTCTTACTCTCAATCCCTCCCATCCATCAATTCGCTGTCTGGCGGGGTTGCAATCCACTCTCTGAAGCCCATCTTTTACGTTCGTTCGCCTTCAGTCGATTTCGCCTCCAACTCCCTCCGGCTTCCCGCCAAGCCTGCTGCGCCTCGCGGCCAAGCTTATTTCCGTCGCTTTCGGCTTCACTTGACCGACTTCTTTCATATTCCAGGAAGGGCCGATCAAAAGAAACTTATTGACATTCTATTGCATCGATTGCTTGCATAGTGCATGTCAATCCACGCGTTCGGGAGCCACGGAGGTATGACCGGTCTCTAATGACCATAACTAAAGCGCCGAACGGAGATCTCGATTTGTTCGTCGGCACAGGGAGGACCGCTGTTCTTTTGGCTGTTGCCTGATGCTACTCGTCGGCCGTCTGGTTCTCCAAACTTAACTTGATTCTTCATATTTTATCTTTTACCCACACCTTCTGTTTCGTTTTCGATCGAACAATCTCCGTTCGTCTTCCTGGCCGTTGGTCTAGTTCCTCGCGGCCATGAGGCTTTTCAAACATTCGTTGCGCCTTGTGGCAACGGCGCTTGCACTCCTCACGGTGGGCACTGATGGTGAGTATCCTTATTTTTCTTACTTCTTTTTACTTTTTTTTGAAGCCATTTCCTGATCCGAAATCATCAAGCCCGGTCGCAAGAGCCCAATGCTATCCAACGTGTTTCGACCCTCGATCATACAACGATAAACACGCCCTCCCATCAAATAGACCACCTTTCTCATTTCGATATAACGTTCAATCTTCGCGACAAGAATCAGAGAATTAAACTAGAACTAGAACCGAACCACGACATTCTCGCCGAAGACGCTTATGTACAATACCTAGACGCCGAAGGTAAAGTTCGGCGGGAGGAGGCTATCCCACGACATGAACACAAGGTCTTCAAAGGAAGATCCCTGAAGGGGCGAGGGAAGGGCCAGTGGGACCCGGTAGGCTCGGCCAGAATCTACATCAAGAATGACGGACCCCAGCCACTGTTCGAAGGTGTATTCAGTATCCACGGCGACAATCATCACGTGGAATTAAAATCGACCTACATGGAAAAGAAGCGCTCCCAGGACGTCGACATTCCCGACCGAAAAGGCGATTACATGGTCTTTTACCGTGATTCCGATATGATCCGACAGATCCATACCGACCTCAAGCGTTCACTGCCCATTGATTCATCGTGCTCAGCAGACAAGTTGGGCTTCAATGCCGACCCCAACCACCCAGTTCTTCAACCTTTAGAGCAGGAGAGCATGGGTAGCTGGGGAGCGATGTCCCTGAATTCCTTATTTGGGCTGAGCAAGCGGCAGTCTGATATTGGCGGCTCTTCGGGAAATGCTGGCGGAGTGAATTTGAAGTCCACCATTGGTAGCACCTCAGGCTGTCCCAATACCAAGCAGGTTGCGCTCATCGGAATCGCCACCGACTGCGAATTTACCGGTTCGTTCAAAGACGAGGAAGCGGCCAAACAGTGGGTAATCAATACGGTCAACAGTGCATCCAATGTCTATGAGAAATCGTTCAACATCTCCATCGGTCTGCGAAACCTGACTGTAACAGACAAAGAATGTCCTCAAAACCCGCCATCCTCAACCGAGTGGAACATGCCCTGTTCCAAGGGAAATATTACGTCACGTCTGGACCTATTCTCCAAGTGGCGTGGACAGCAAAAAGATGATAACGCCTACTGGACTTTAATGAGTGACTGTCCTACGGGCCCCGAAGTCGGATTGGCATGGCTGGGGCAGCTGTGCAATAACGAAGTCTCTAGCGATGGCTCCAACGCTGTCAGCGGCACCAATGTCGTCGTTCGCTCTTCCGGGGGTGGATGGCAAATCTTTGCCCACGAGTCGGGCCATACTTTTGGGGCGGTTCACGATTGTGATTCCCAGACTTGTTCCCAGAACCTTGCGGCGTCTTCCCAATGCTGCCCGCATACTACAGATGAGTGTGATGCTAAGTCACAATACATCATGAACCCCAGCACGGGCCAGGATATCACCAAGTTCTCGCCGTGTACAATTGGCAACATCTGCTCCGCCCTCGGTCGCAACAGCGTCAAGTCTACCTGTCTTTCCGATAACCGCGGCGTGACTACTTACACGGGTGGCCAATGCGGCAATGGCATCGTGGAGTCTGGTGAAGACTGCGATTGTGGCGGGGAGGAGTCTTGCGGCGACAACAAATGCTGTGATGCTAAAACTTGCAAGTTCAAGGATAATGCGCAGTGTGACGATGCCAACGACAGTTGCTGTTCGGGCTGTAAATATGCCAAGGCCGACACTGTCTGTCGAGCTAGCCGCGGTGAATGTGATGTGGAGGAGAAGTGTACTGGAAACTCGAGTACCTGTCCCTCTGATCATTTCAAGGATGATGGTTCGAAGTGCGGTAACTCGTCGGCTGGCTTGACCTGCGCCAGCGGCCAGTGTACCAGTCGGGATTACCAATGCCGAAGCGTTATGGGTAGTCTTCTGCACAGCAATGACACCAACGCATGTAGCCAATTCAACGACAAGTGCGAGATCATCTGCTCTTCCCCCGGCTTTGGCCAATGCGCCAGTGTCAACCAGAACTTCTTGGACGGGACTCCTTGCGGCAGTGGCGGTCACTGCGACAATGGAAGCTGCAAGGGTTCTAGCGTCAAGAACTGGATCGATGACCACAAAAATGTTGTAATTGGCATTGCCTGCGGTGTGGGAGGGTTCATTGTTCTTGCTATCCTGTTCTGCCTCATCAACCGGTGTCGCCGGTCTCGACCTACCGCAAAGCCGGTGCCACCGCGGCCTCCCTACGGCTGGACAGCCCCGATGCCACCTCCACCACGGCCTCCTATGGGCCAGTGGCCCAACGTACCGACGCGAGGATACCAGGGACTAGCCACAGAACCTCCCCCACCTCCCTATCCCGGTCCTTCGTACAACAATCCCGGGGGCGCAGGGTACATGCCTACTCCGGCGCGATACGCATGAGCGTGCCGCACTCGAAATTTTTTCCGTTCTATCATCTCGCGTTTTGATTTAAGATGCATATATCTATGCGATGAGTGTCTGTTTGCATGATGAATCTGCAAACACCTGTTGCATTTTGACGATCCTTATAATTGGCACCGGCGCAGACATAGATCTTTTATTCTTGTTATTTTTTGCTTATATTGGAAGATATCTTGTTTCTTTTTGATCTGGTTAATACTACTATCTATCTTCTCTTACATTTATCTGTTCTTCCCGTGTCCTGTGTACTGCTTGCTTTTGGATTGCTCTTTTGCATGTATTCGAACTGGATATATCGTGTCAACCATATGTACAATCATGCTTATCTATGGATGATGTTCCTTCTGCATCCAGGATCGCATAAATAGTCAATTTTTGAATGCATGAAGTGATGGTCATCATTTGGGTTTATCTTTCGTGGTCTTGGTCACCATGTAGCGAATAGTGCCTTTATATAAACTCAACCACTAGATACATATGGTATTACAAGACCGGAGATGCCATTCATGATTCTCTGCAGCATGAGCATCTAGTACATAGACATACATACTCAGTAGATAGATGGAACCATGACATCCAATTGGTAAAGTAGGGAATAAAAACAAAGTCCACAGAGAAACAAGAAAAACTGCTCGGCGCCCACCCAATGCCCAAACAAAAGCAGCCAGCAAGAAACTAAACATTTCACCTAGAATGGCGATGCAAAAACCAAATATCGGAAAACCAAAAAAAAAAAAAAAAAAAAAAAAAAAAAAAAAAAACAAAAAAAAAAAAAACCAAAAAAAAAAAAAAAAAAAAAAAAAAAAAAAAAAAAAAAAAAAAAAAAAAACCAAAACGAAGAAACAAGTGAGATCACTCCGGAGTCCAATGCACCAGTCAGTCATGCCTGGGACATTCCGTCCTCCGTCCTGCTCTGTTCTCTCCCCCTTGACCGACTCACTGGACCAACCAATCCACTATTTTAGATAGAGTATGTATGTGCATGTCCGGACCTTTGACCGTTCACGGATTAAAAAAAAAAAAAAAAAGTAAAGAAAAAGTAAAGCCAAAACACCCTAACGTCAAAACATACAAAAAAAAGAAAACTGTACAAGTATCACTGCCAGCAGATACTCACAAACGCCTCCCTCGTAACACCGCCCACGCCCTCCAGATCGAACTCCTCGATCATCGCGCGCAGCTCCTCCTCCTCGAGGCCCGTCTCGCCCAACTCGCGCGCCACGCGCCGCAGATCCTCCAGATCGATGTATCCCTTTCCGCCCTCGTCGAAGAGCTCGAAGGCCCGCAGGATCTCGTCGCGCGGATCTCGCTCGAGGATCTTCAGCGCCGTGACAGCCTGGAAGGCAGAGAGTGGCATGAGCAGGTTGGACGGGTGCTGGGGGTTCGTGGCCGGCGCGGCGCGCGACTGCTGCTGGTGCTGCGATTGTTGGGCCGCGGCGGCTTGTTGGACTTGTGGGCGGGGCACGCCGTAGGTCGTTAGGAGGGAGATCAGTTCTTGTTTGGGAAGGGTGAAGCCGAGGGCTCGGAAGGCGACTCGGAGTTCGTGGTAGTCGAGGTGTTGGTCGCGGTCGAGGTCGAAGAGCGTGAACTGTATCTTTGGTTAGTTATGTTTGTTTTGAAGTTTCCTTGGGGGTTTTTCAGAGGATTGATTGAGGGATTGGTGTGGTTGTTGCATCTCTTGTAAGGACGGAGTACGGATGGGAAAGAGTCAGGGATTTCTTACAGCTTCATTGATCTCTTCGCGCTGCTCCTCCGTTAACCGACTCAGCGGATTCGAGTCCTGCGAGGGACCGTGAGTTTGCGAATGCACCGGAGGGGCCGGGGCCTGCTGCGAGGCTTTGCCCGCCTCGGGCCCAAAGTCGCTAGGTCCGGGGCCGCCTAGTCGCCGCGTGAACGAAGAAGCACTGAGAGGCATCGCATTGGCATTGACGGATCGATCGGGCAATCTGCCTGCGTTGTAGGAGCGCGTCCCGAACGGTGGCTGAGCGGACGCCATGGTGGTGGGAATGAATCCCCGGGTGGGAGGGGAGGAAGAGAGCCGGTATTTGCACCGGGAGGCACGGACGAGAAAAAGCAATGAGCGCAAGGGAGATGAACCGAGTCTTTCAGCGGAGAGTGTCGAGGACGGACGGCGTGGAAGGTGGATAGATTGTCTGCGGCGGTTGCGACGACGCGAATTCGGAGGACGCGAGGCGGTAAGCAGAGCCCGCGTTGCTTGGCGGGCGGTGGTTACAGGTATACTATGAACAGCAACGGGAAAATTCCAGACAGCAAAGATCTACTATATACGGAGTATACCGATGTTGGTTTATATCGATTGGTTTGTATGTCAGTATGTCAGTATGCTAGTATGTTGTTTGGCCCATTTAATTACAAAGCTGCCTAGGTTGCGTCCATCTTGTCCCTTGCGACAGACCGGTCTCCGCCGCTCCTAAGGTAAGTAAGTTGGATTCAGACCAGCGGAATAGGCGATTGTTCATGAGGACTTCCTTGGGCCCGTTATTATGTGTTGCAGCCTTTTCGGAGGTGGCCGCTAATGACTAGCTGAGTCGTCCGATGAGGGATTGATGGAGTTGATCCGCTGGGTCCTCGACCTCTAAGGCGGTTGTCGGACGAATAGCAAAGGGACATACATTGCAGAGCCTCGGCGAGAAGACTGACAAAATGTCTCTCGCATATTCATTCAGCGAATCCGTAGCTCGTGGGTTGTGGGTGTATCCTGGGTTCATGGGGTCGGTCGAATGATACATCAAAACGGACCATCCGAGAAATCCATGTCTTGAGTCTGGAGATCTTGGTCGACTTGGTAACCCAGATCCAGGTCTTCCAGGAATTTCCGATCCTTTAGTTTCTCGGGAAGGTATTCCTGTGCCACCTCACCATTTCTATAGTTCGGGTTGTACTTGTACTCCTTGCCATATCCAAGTTCCTTCATCAACCTGGTCGGCGCGTTTCGGAGATGGATTGGAATAGGCAGTCCGGCGACGCCCGGTTCTGCAAGCGCAGCGTTGGCATTGTTCAGGCCTCTGTATGACCGCGTGCTCTTTTTGGACAGCGCCATAGCTACCGTGGCGTGGGCCAGGTTGATGCGTGCCTCCGGAAGCCCAATCTTCTCGACGGCCGAGTGAGTCGAGATGGCAAGCGTGAGCATACTGTTATCTGCTAGACCGATATCCTCCGAGGCCACCACGATCAACCGCCGAGCGATGTATAACGGGTCTTCCCCGGACTGTATCATACGTGCTAAATAGTATAGGGCCGCGTCCGCGTCGCAACCCCGGATTGACTTGTGAAAGGCCGAGATCGTATCATAATGCTGGTCTCCCGCACGATCATACACCAAAGTCTTGGTCAAGGATCGCTTCAGCTCTTCGCTGGAGACTCCAGGTCGTTTCGATAGGTCCATTGCTAGTTCGAGGAGGTTGAGAGAGGTCCGAGCATCGCCGTCGGAGAACTTGGCTAGATACTTAATAAGGTCATCGTCAACCAAGTTAGACGGCGCGTAGTTCGGACCCTCAACCTCCAGAGCACGATAAAGGATCTGCGTGACGTCTTCATCGGTGAGCTTGGACAGCGTAAAGGTTCTGCACCGGGACAGCAGGGCACTCTGAACCTTGAAGGAGGGGTTCTCCGTGGTGGCACCGATCAGAGTGACCTGTCCGCTTTCTACGGGTCCCAAGAAGACATCCTGTTGCGATTTGGAAAAGCGGTGGATTTCGTCGCAGAAAATTATGGTCTTCCTTCCGGTAAGACCTAATTCGCTTTTCGCTTCGGAGAAGATCTTCTTGCACTCCGCGACTCCCGTACTAGTGCTGTTTATTTCTACAAACCGACTGCCCACCATCGATGCGATGACTCTGGCAATGGTTGTTTTACCGGTTCCCGGGCCTCCCCATAGGATCATGCTAGGAACCCGGTCTTGTTCAATCAGTCCGCGAAGCACGCCGTGTTGGCCGACCAAGTCCTGACCGCAGACCTCATCGAGGGCGCGAGGACGCATCCGTTCCGCCAAGGGGGCCGCTTTCTTGAATGCATTCATATTTGGTTTCTTTGGCTGTGGCTCCGATTGAGAGGGATCCGAGCTCGGTTCGGGGTTCGTCTCCGCCCGGCGATCCGAGGGAGGCGGCATCGTTCGCTTGCGGGTGACATTTTGTAGAGGCGAGGAGTCGGAGCGTAAAAACTTCTGCGCGTTTGGTTGCGAGGGGGTTTTACGCGCCGAGGCTGGCTGGAAAATGCTTGGAACTTGAGCCTTCTGCGAGGACGAATCCCCCGCACTGGAGGCCGGTTCCTCGATAAAGCTTTGACAATTGGAATCAATGTGATCGTTGATCTTCACGGAGGGGACAGAGTTGCTGCAAATGGGACACGAGACCATCGTGAGCAGCCGGCGGGATGGGAATTGACGGACGACAGCTCCGGAGGTAGCGTCTCGGTGGTCGAGATGGACATATCAACTGAACGCGTGCGGAGAACAGCTGAGTCAGCCGTCATCTTCCCCTTTCAGGCGATCAGGCACGGAGTCCGCATTGGGACAGAGCACGCCATTTGCGGGCATGACTTACATAAGCCCCGTCGTCATTCCCCGATTCTTGGACTCATCGCGCTCTCTTCTTCTTACTTTCTCTCTCCGATTTCCGGCCCAATTCCCCTCCATCTCCCCTCCGTCCGTTCCTTACTTATGTTCTCGGGATATCGTGCGTCAGTCTCATTTGCAGCTGCTGCCAAAATCAAATATCCATCCAGTCCTCTTGTCGCCTCCACGTTTAGATCCCAACCCCACCTTATATTTCCCCGCGCTAGAGAAATGTCCGCAACAGCGGCTCGGCCTGATCCTTTTCGACCGGCGAGGAGGGTCGCTGGCCAAAGACAAGATGTCTGGTACGACATGTCTTCTAGCAAAGGACGCTGTAGAAGGAATTCCTAACTAGTCCGTAGGTCAATTGTGAACGAAGCTGCCGCCGCTTCTCCGGTCCAGCCCATTGTGAACATGGGCCAAGGGTTCTTGTGAGTGAGGATTAATTCCCCGTAGGGCTGTCACATGCTGACCAGGGTCACTATGTGCTCAGTGGATATAACCCTCCTAAATTCGCCATCGATGCCGCGAAGGATGCCCTCGACCGAGTGGAATGCAATCAATACTCCCCGACAAAGGTACCGGCATAACTGAGCGTCATGTCGCAATTGAGCTTCTGCTCACGGTAATCATAGGGTCGCCCTCGCCTGAAGAAGGCTCTCGCGGATGCGTATTCGCCATTCTTCGGCCGAACTCTGAACCCAGACACGGAAGTTTCGATCACAACGGGAGCAAATGAAGGAATGCTGAGTGCTTTCATGGGATTCATTGAACCTGGTGATGAGGTTATTATCTTCGAGCCTTTCTTCGACCAGTAAGTCAGCACAACGCAACTAAGAAATCCATGGCCCTGACAATTGGGAAAGATATATTAGCAACATCGAAATGCCCGGTGGCACTATTCGATATGTGCCCCTTCATCCGCCCAAGGATGGAGCCACCAGAACATCCCCTGCTTCTGAATGGACCATCGACTTCGAGGAGCTGGAGAACACCATTAATTCCAAGACCAAAATGATTGTAAGGCTTCTAATTGAACTTACTATCGTGTCAGCTCTGACTCTTCTGTCTAGGTCTTGAACTCACCGTGAGCGATATCCAAGCTTTCCCTCTTTCGATTTACTGACAAAATACACAGCCATAACCCTGTTGGAAAGGTCTTTTCCCGTGCCGAACTCGAGCGGATCGGAGATCTCTGCATTAAGCATAACCTCATCATCCTCTCCGACGAGGTTTATGACCGTCTTTTCTATGTTCCCTTCACCAGAATCGGTACCTTGTCTCCTGAACTCTACGAGCGCACCCTCACCGTCGGCTCGGCTGGAAAGGCCTTCTATGCAACGGGCTGGCGTGTTGGGTACCTGATTGGGCCTGAGCACCTGATCAAGTATGTTGCTGGCGCGCACACTCGAATTTGCTACAGCAGCGTCTCCCCGCTTCAAGAAGCTGCCGCTGTCGCCTTTGAGCAGGCCGACAAGGTAGGCTTTTGGGACGAGAGCCGAACTGATATGAAGGGCAAGGTGGAGCGTTTCTGTCAGGTGTTTGACGAACTGAAGATCCCTGTAAGTATTTTGCCTCTGCTTCGATTCTTAAGTTTGGGCTCCCGCTGACGACTTACTATAGTACTCGGATCCTGAGGGTGGCTACTTTGTTCTCGCCAACATGTCGTCGGTCAAGCTTCCCGAGGACTACCCTTTCCCTCCCCACGTTGCCAATCGCCCTCGCGATTTCAAACTCTGCTGGTTTCTAATCCACGAAGTCGGCGTGGCAGCAATTCCTCCGACTGAATTTTATACCGATGCGAACGCCCATATCGCCGAAGATTACCTTCGCTTTGCCGTCTGTAAGAACGATGACGTGTTGGAAACCGCGAAGGAGAGGCTACGGGGCTTGAAGAAGTACATTGTGCAGTAAAGTCAACGAAAATCGAACAGTTTTTGGGGGGTGATACAGTCATTGAAAGATAGGGGCGGGTCAGTCGCGCTCCAGAGAAGATATATAGAATCTGTTAAATCATTTATCAATAGGATGGCAAAGGCTGCAAAGTAGAAAGTTTAAATTGGTATTTTCGTCAACTACTTGTAAGTCCCATTGCCATTCTCTGCGAGCCCCTCCTAGACCGTCTGGTTTGCCCTCTTTCCTTCCGCCCTCATTCTCAGTCGCAGACCATAAACTAGCGACACAGAGATCTACCAGAGTTCTTCAACGAAGGTGAGAGCTGCCTGATGAATATGTGAGAAGTTCGCATAAGAACCGAAGACATGGTGGAAACAAGAAAAAAGGCTTGGAAAACGCCGAGAATTATGATAGTGCCGAAAGGAAGAGCTTAGGCATTGATGCCCTCGATCTCCCTTTCGCCACTACCGGCACCATCCCATTCATCTCCACGACGGAAGTCTCGCTGGTCCTCATCGGCCACTTGGTCGAACCCCTCCCCGCGCATGCGCGCAGCGATGTTGGTAACGCTAGGGTGGGTCGTCCTCGCGGTTCGTAGGATCCAGTACGTCCCCTCGAGATGGTCGACCATCTGACCGAGACCTCTACCGGGGGGAGTCCCCAGCAGACGACGGAATTCAGACCGACATCCCGCGTCGGGACAATTGCGACGGTTCTTTCCATTCCAGTCCGTATCGCAGGCGTGTCTGGTCCCAGTGATTGTCTCTTGTATGGTCACGTTGAATTCAGTCTGGAATTGATATTTGAGCGAAACCTCCAACTCTTGGTCCCTGCCATCTGCGCGCAGTTTATCTCGGATCAGTCGGAAGAGAAAATCCACCAGTTCGTGGACGTCGAGCGTCACTGCAGAAGAGCACGAGGTTAGCAAATGGCCATGAAATCAAAACAGAGATGAATATGGCAACCAACTGAAGAGGCAGATGGCGAGAACCCGACGGAAGCGATCCTTCTCCACAGGGTCGTCAAATTTGATCGCGTACAGCACCCTATGAGGGCAGCGTACATCCAAGGTGTTCTCGGGGAACCCAGCTTCAACGTAATCCACCCAATCTGAGAATATGAAGTAATCTCCTGCGCGGGTGTCGGCGCTGAAACGTACCGCCTGACGATGACGTTCGGGTGCGTCGTAGGGATGGATACATGGTATCATAATGGGACCTTCTCTCACCTGACGAGGAATTGACGATTCCCGGCAGGGGTGCACGAAGGTCATCTGTCCGCAGTACATCCAATGATATTTGACATCTTCGAACATGTGCTCTTTGCAACAGTAGTGAACCTCGGAGTAGGGGCCGCAGCCAGGACAAATCACGGTTGCTCCATCCCACAAGTTGCAGCGTTTATCGCATCCATGCTTTGCACAAGGGAAACCATGACTATCTAGCTGCCAGAAGAAACCCTCGGGCTTCTGTGTCGAGACACTTCCTTGAGAGCTTGCTGCTGCCAGAGTGGATTGCTCGCCTCCAGCCGGCGACCCAGGGTGAGTGTGCCTAGGAGATTTGACAGAGACTTCCTGGCGTCTGTTTCCAGTCTCAGTGGATTCAGCGGTAGATCCTTCGCTTTGAGATGTGGCCTGTGGTCCGAAACTGCTCCAGGCAGTGGTGGACGATTTGGGCGTACTTGTCAGAAGGCTGCGTGCTTCTGAAGTAAGGTTCTTGGTGTCGGCATCAATGTCTCCTGCTGCTTCCTGGATAGGGGACAGCTTCTCTCTGTGAATACTGCTGGTCCTGCGCGAGGACTGGCCTGGGCGAGAAGGCGGAGTTGAGATTGCTGATGAGGTTGCCGAGGACTCATTAGTGCTGGAATCTAGAGTGATGCCCTTCATTCCCTCTTCAATGTCAGCAATGGGTGTGTTGCTCGCTGGGAAAGAAGAGCTCCCTTGGGCATCTTCTGGGATCTCGTCTCCGGTGACCGGATCGACCCTGGCAACGCGCCGTTTTCCTTTCTTGTCCGACTTTGAAGATTTAGACCGTCTAGCTGGCACCTCGTGGGCTTCTTTGTCTTCGTTTGCATTCACTGCCTCTTTAGCCTGGGCACTCTTGGTCTGAGGGTTCTTTTCGGCCTGCGCGGCGTGTTTGTCGTGATAATTAGTCTCCTTGACGGCCGCAGAATAGTCAACAGTCTTGGTTTCTCTTGCGCTTGGAGGTATGTCAACTCTCTGAGGGGTCTCTTTCAGCACTGAGGATGAAGCAGTATCGCAGATATCACCTCCCTTCTTTGGGGGCTGAGATTCTGGAATTTCTGCGCTTGGCTGACTACTGGGCGTGCGGGATGATCTTCTATGGGCAGCATCGGGCGCGATCGACGCAAGATCGACCTTTTTGTATTTCTTACTCTTCTTCTTCTTTCCTTTCTTTGAAGAGGTAGCAGGTTCTGAGGCAGTCACCTGAGTCTGAGGTGCAGTGGCCGATTGGAGATCATCGCCTGCAGAACCCTGTGCCTTCGACTGAAGCGATGAGTCCGCCAGGGCAGACGCCTCGCTTGAAGAGGAACGAGAGACTGTCCGAGAACGCAGTAGAGTGACAGCATCGGAGCGAGACTTTGGCTCCTCGACTGCTGAGACTCCCTGCTGCTTGTCTGTTTACCGGTAAACAAGTTAGCACTCGCACTTTCAATCACTAGGCTACTGAAAGACCGAGATGGAGCGATGCAAACTCACCGGTGAAATTGTCTTTGTCACTCATTGAACCAGACTCAAAGTCGCTGCTTGTGATCTGATCTGAATCTGTGGCGGTGGAGGAGAGGGAGGGAGAAGAGGAAGATTGCTGAAGCAGTAGGCATTTGTTGCTGGACAACTTCTCTTGCTGAAGGTCAAGTTCACTCAGGCACTTTGCAAAGCCAATCACCGCCTCGCTCGCCTGCGAAGGGTGCACCTGTTCAGGCAAAGATGAAAGCTCTTGGAAAGTTCCCTTTTCCTCTGCTATCTTCTTCTGAGACGCTTTCTTTCCGGATCCCTTCTTTCCTTTTCCCTTCCCTCCCGAAGGAGCACGGTTCCGATTTTTGTGCCTGACTGGCATGTTGACAGATGAGAGAGCCTTGGTGTGAATCGGATGATTGCGGTAAGTCTTGTCCTGGAAATGAGAGTTATTACCGGAAAAGTTCTTTTATTAACAGAAGGATAGAAACATACCGTGTACTTTGAAGATATTCGCCTGTTGACCAAGGAATATCCCAACGCTTGTCGTTCACGTTTTCTCTGCGCAGTTCACAAGAGACATCAGAAGGAGGAGGAAGAGGAAGAAGAAGAAGAGGGAAGAAGACGTCTAGGCTACGAGAATAACAATTGCTGTGGTGAAGCTCCACGTACGGGGCCATACGGGGCCAGCATACGGGGCCACTACGCGGGTCCTGCGATGATTCTTTGTGACTAACAAACGGAAGCTGCTCAAGTTCACAAATTGAACTTGTTCAAACAAGAAGACTTTCATACATACTCTGGGATCAACATCTTTGACAAGATGATAGTGTATATGCGGCTAACAAGGTCTTTCAAAGGGCACCTGCATATTAGAGTCTTGTCTAAGATGCTGCTGCTGTGCACTGGGAAATATTTGGCCGGATCCTATAACTTCACGATTGGAACCATGAACCAAAAATACACTTTCCCTTTGTGTCCATCTACCTCTATTTCATTCTGCTGCCCTTTTTGGCACCAGTCGATCTACAAGATAGATCAAAATCAGGATATCTTGATTGCGAAGGCTGTTATTCGCTTCTAATTGACCATATGAGCTAGGCTCCTAGTTCTCTTGCAATACTGCTCTATGACAAGAAAGGGTCTTGATATCATTCTGCAGCCGGTCTATATCTTCCCAGATATTTCATAGTTCAGCTGCAGTTGATCCTTTCTGTAGGTGCTGCCTCCCGTATGGACAAAGTTGCTCCTACTTGGACATTGCTTGATGGAGACCAGACATGGCTTCCAGACTACATATCATATAATTATTTAGATCAACGAATTCTCTCGTGGTTTGAATAGTATCCTAGGCGCCCTGGATCTGTTATGGTAGACGGCAGTCACGTGTTGCGGCGTGCCCTTGTGAACCCAAATGGGAAAGGGTAAGACAGTCACGTTCCCCTCCTTTCTTCTTCTTTCTATTCACCTCCTTCTCTGCATCCTCCATCATCGATCGCTACCTCCCAAAGACAGATAATACTCCCAAGCTAATCACTAACACAAATAGTACCGATCGTTCTTATCCAATCAAGCCCCAGGCCACTATTCAATCTCTAGCGTCCCGGCGCCAAATGGAACAACAAACGCTGCAGGAGTGCTCAACAAAGAACCATTCACCGACATGCTTCCCCATCTCCCTCGCACGAGACCGTGGGGCCCATTGCCTTTATTTAGAATAATGGCATAATGCCCGAAACAGGTGCACAGACAATGGAGTCTGGGAACAGCGAAGCTATGGAACAACCACCACGGCAGCATGCTAAGCGCCGATCTTGAGAGGCTATATTTGGCCCTGCTAGGCGCCCTGAAGACAACCACTGCGAGGATTAAGCCGGTAAATGGATCGCGCTAGATGAAACGGAGCCATAATTGCGGATGGTTCAGTCAGTGTTTATTTTAGGCATTGATATTTAAGTGGATCAATACTCAATTCCCTCAATGGTTGCTTTTGTTGCTGTCTGCCGGGATTTAGCTGCATTCACTTTGTGGGCCTAACGCTTGTCTGTTTGAAAGCCCATTGTTTTTTAGTCATAAAGGTAGCTTTTTACCTTTATTTCAGATTCTGTCTTATTGAGATTCTGTTCCTACACTCTTTCTAGAGGGTACACCTACACGTTCATTTGATTTCTTTTTCTCCCTTTCCAGTGGATCACCTTTCTCTATACTATCGCATACATTTGAACATGGCCTACACTCTTCCTACAATCATTGGATTTTACTGATAACACTTGCTGCCGGTCAGCCCTTTGTTAAAGCCGTCGTCTTTCATTCCTTTCCCACAAAAGTTATTTTCGTTCTCTGATTGAATCATCTTGGAAGTTGCCCAATAGGCGCTCTTCTTTTCTCTCTTCTGTTCAAATTCCATCTCACATATCCTAATCTTCCCTTCCAACATGCTCTTCTCAAGGCCAGGTCGCTCGATCTTCCCCTTGCTTCCGCCATATGGAGCCCATGACCCCAACCGTGACCCCGGGCGTGTAATACTACACCCAGATGGGATGACACCCTACCTCGGCCTGAGGGCTCGTTTGTCCCAGGTTTGGATGAATCGATGGACAATCCTGTTGTTGTTAGTGCTTGCACGAGTCCTAATAGCCGTTGCGGGCATGCGGTCAGACATGGATGGTGCCAAACGCGAAGCCCTATCGGCTTGTACCTCTGTTGAGTCGATGGGTAGCTCGATGGCTTCTATGCCCCATTACCTTTCGCGGGGAGTCAATGAGATGACGGCGTCTTCGGTCGAGGCAGCCGTTAGCGGGCTCAAGTCGATGCTCATGCTCACCATCACGGGAGTAGAGGAACTCATCATCTTCTGGATCAAGGTCATGTATCAAACCTATCTTTGCCTGTTTACGATGGTCGTCCGTGGCAGCGCCCACGTCGCCCTCAGCTTGGTACAGGATGTTACCGATTTCTTGAACTCTACCCTCACATCAATTGGAGACGACATCGAGAAGGCAGGCGACAAGTTCCAGAGCGCTGTCGATAAATTCTCAGATGGTGTAAACACCGTCACGAGTGCATTGGGTGGAGGAAATGCCATCCCAAAAATCGATTTTAGCGACGATATCGACAAGCTCTCCAATCTTAAGCTCCCCGGCTCCATCAATTCCACCATCGACAAAATCAATGGCTCGATCCCCACCTTTGACGAAGTCAGCAAGTTCGTCGAGGATGTCATACGTTTACCCTTCGAGGAAGTTAAGCATCTCATCAATGGGTCCCTGAGCAACTACACTTTCGACCGCTCCGCCCTCCCCGTGCCCGCGAAGGAAAAGATGACATTCTGCAACGACAACAACGGGATCAACTCGTTCTTTGACGGTATCTCCGATCTTGTCGACACAGCCCGCAAAATCTTCATTGCAGTCCTTGTACTCGCCGCTACGTTGGTCTGTCTCCCAATGGCCTGGTACGAGATCCGCCGCTGGCGATCCATGAAAGAACGCTCTGAGCTTGTGCGCAAAGAAGCCCACGACCCGATGGACGTCGTGTACATCGTTTCTAGCCCGTACACCGCTGCCACAGGAATCAAAGCTGCCAGTCGATTTAGTAACAGCCGGCGACAAACCCTCGTGCGTTGGGTCGTGGCTTACGCTACTTCCACACCCGCCCTCTTCGTTCTCTGCCTCGCTATCGCCGGTCTCTTCTCCTGTCTCTGTCAATTCATCCTACTGCGCGCCGTTCAGAAGACCGTACCAGAGCTTACCACCGAAGTTGGCCAATTTGCTGAAAAGATCGTCACCAAGCTTGAAAACACCTCGGCTACCTGGGCCAAAGACGCTAACGGTGTCATTGGCGACATGAACCACGACCTCAACACAAACATTTTTGGCTGGGTAAATACCAGCACTACCGCCGTCAACGATACTCTGGACGCCTTTGTTGAAAAGACTACGGGCGTACTGAACGACACTTTCGGCGACACCATCCTCATCGGGCCCCTGCAGGACGTCTTCCACTGCTTAATCGGCTTGAAAGTCGAATCCGTGCAAAAGGGACTCACCTGGGTCCACAACCATGCACACCTCGACTTCCCTCTTCTTCCCGCAGACATCTTCTCGCGCGGTGCCGAGGATAGTATCTCTGACGGCAGCGATGGCGATGCCAGCTTCCTCGCCGACGCAGGAGACTCGACCTCGAACAAGATCACCGAGGTGATCATCCGCGTTATCAAGAAGATCGAGGACGGCATCCGCACCGAAGCCATCATAGCCTCGTGTATTCTACTCGTCTGGTTCCTCAATGTTCTCTTCGGCCTCATCCGCGCCTTGACCTTGTTCTGGAAACGAGAGCGCAGCCGCGGCGATGGCGGTGGCGCGCCGGCGTCCCAATCTTCACCTGATCAGAACGGATTCATCAATGTGCCGCTGACGGCGATGCCGAATGTTCAAGCCCACAACATCGACCCCTACGCTGCGTCGAGGGCCCAACCGGCGCCAAAATATGAGCCTTCTGCCTCCGTCAGTGCGAGCGGAAGTAGCAACGAAGTGAGTCAGTACGATGACGAGAAATTGGGATTTGCGGGCCAGAGGAATTACGGATCTGCCCTGAAGGTGGACGAAAGAGTCGAGCTGCGAGGAAGTAGTTATGTTGAATATGGCTTGGAGAAGCGGGCTGTTTGATTTGGTTTGATTAGTCCTTTCTCTTTCCTTTCTTTCCTCAATTTGTTGTTTGTTTTTTCTAGCCTGGTGTTTTGATAATTTATTCTTCATGTCTATACCTGGCGTCGCAATTTACATATTCTGTTAATTAAGCATTTACGATTTTACATTTGCTACTACCGTCTTTATGCTCCTGTCTTTTCTAGATGAATGGACAAATTAATTTATAGATACAAATTCGTTTATATATCGTCATTACCAATGCGATGAAGTAGTCCAAGTAACTAGTGATATGCGGAGGATTCCGATAGCGAAAAAAAGTCCCGAAAATACAGCCAAGAAAGATAATGCAAGAAAAAAAAAAAAAAAAAAAAAAAAAAAGTAATACAAGCAGTCTCAGTCGTAGATAATCGCCGGGGCTACGATCTATGCAGCATACTGGTTCGTAATTCATAAGTGACGGCGGTGAACGTATACCTACCTGCACACACTTGCAATAAAAACGATGATTAAAGGGCGAATGAGTTATGCAAAGTCATGGAATTTAGATCTCCACGAAGAAGCTCTTCTCTCCTTTCTGGGGCTTCACCCGTGCCCTTTCGATGATGGGATCCGCGCAGTTGACACGGATCCGCTCGGGCGTTGCCGGGCTCTGGAGACTGAGAACGTCGTGAACGTTCCACTGTTTCCGAGCGGCTTTGAGGGCGTCGCGGATGGCGAAGAAGGCGGCACTGCC